GGGAGCGCCTCCGCCCCCGCCGGACCTGGCTGCCCGAGCGCCCACGTCCCGCACTCATCTGCCCGAAACCGAGGCCACGCTGGCCGCGGGTGCTGCCGAGGAGCTGTCGGGGCGCATTTGCTTTTGCTTTTGCAACTCAAGATCCCTGAGACCTTTCCTCCTCCCACCACCCCCAACAGGACACGGAACTCCAGCGTTTTCCCGAGAGCCACCAAAGGGGGGGGGGTGTCACGGAAATCCCAACCTTGCTGGGCTACCTCGCAGAACGCAAACTCGAAGCAGAGCGTGAGCTGTGCGGGGATGCTGGCATCTAGGACCCCAAAACCGCCCGGCTTCCCCCACCTTCCCTAGGTCCTAGTTAGACATCCATCCAACCCACGCTCAGGAAGGCAGGGCTGCCCCAACTCCTCCCGGATGCCGCTAACTTCGGAAATCCCTCTCGGTAGATTCGCCTAACCCAGGTACCTCGTCATCTCGGAGGGGCGAGTCCGGATTCCGCCAGGACCGGTCCAGGAGGTCAGCGGGGCAGGCAAGCCGAGGCCGAGCGCGTTCCCACCCTGCCCCGCACGGCCCAGCAGAGCACCCCCGGCGCGTGCGCCCCCTCGCCGTCGCCCTTCAGTCTCCCATTCGCCGACTAAACTTTTGGGGGATCACATCTCCCAGCCTAGGGAGTTCCGAGCTGAGCAACCCTCTGTTCCGAACCTCTTCACTGGAATGCAATCACGGGAAGGCAAGAGGGGCGGCTGCTTGTTCCTTGCAACGTAAAATCAACAGACACCCAATCAAGCTCCGCTGCCCGGCCAGCCCCTCGCCCCCTGGTGCCCCTCTCCTTCTGCTCCCATTCCTGTCACCTCCGCCTGCCGGGTGCGCAAGCCCGTCTACTTGTGCCCAGGAAAAGCGAATCACTAAAGTGATCTGAGAAAGAACGGTGTACCTGGCTGTCCGCTGAACAGTTTTAGGGAAGAAAACGGAAAGGGGAGTAAAATAAGGGGGATTCCCGTCTTTGGGCAAGCGCGGCGTCTAGGGGGCTCGGAGGCCGGGGGCTTTCTTTCGCGTGGCTCGCACTTGCTTTCGTCTTTTCCTCTCTCCGCTGCTCGGCAGCGAGTCTTACCCTGCTCCCCGCAGAGGGCGCGGTGAGGAGCCCGCGGGGGGCCCGCAGCTCCATGTCAACGCCGCCGCCGCCGCCGCCGCCGCGCGAGGCGAGCTCCGCGGCCGCACTTGTGGCTGGTCTCGGGGCTGAGGGGGCTGCGCTGGCCGAGTCGGCTGCGAGTCTCTTCCATGTGAATAACAAATACTCCCACCGGCGGCCGCGATTGGTCTGCGCCCGGCGCCTCCCGATCCTCCGCCCGCGGCCATTCACCCGGCGCGGCGCGGGGAGCCGCGGCCGGGACCGCGCCCGGGATCGCCAATCGCTTCTCGCCAGCCAGTCACCTCGCGAAGCGGGAGGAGGAACCCCGGGGGGCGGGGAGAGAGGAACTCGGCCGAAGGGTCCCCGTCCTCGCCTCAGCCCAAAGCGACGCGGGGACCAGAAACGTCAATAGTTCTGATTTTTAAAAACCACCCCCACCGCCCGCCCCCCTAACAAAGGGAGGGCCCGAAGGCGGGGGCGGGGGGGC